TTATTAAAAGTGAAACAGTTGTACCCTGGATTCCAAAATTAAATCAAGGCTCGGATCAACTCATCATCTATATCAACATATAGCAGATAGGAAATATCCCCATAACACTGGTAAAACTGCTACTTCTTACTCAACTCCCATTTTTTCCAAATGTCTCGTAAGTCCTGGATGTCATTTCTTTTAAGAGAAACGGAAGCATAACCCGCTAAATTTGACACGTGATCAGCTGGCAAATTGTCCCCTTCCAATCTTTGCAATGCTTCAGCCCACTGTCGTACCTCAGAGTTTTGAACTATTTGATTTAAATACTTTTCGTCCATTATTGAAAGCTTTCCAATTTGACGATTAACTGAAGATCAACACCCTTAATCTTGAATGATGCAATGCATATAACAAAAAAACACAACAAAAAATGAAAATGAATTAGTACAAGTAAGAAAATTGATACAAATAAAAATGTCATTTAAAGATGAATATAACACCTACCCCGTCATGATATCTACCCAAACATGTTATATACCCACAATGATTTTTCAAGAAATTAATCCTAACCACATGGTATCTAGTTCGCATGCTGTTATTAAACAATATTTAAAGCAAAAAGAAAAGGTTTAGAAACGCTCCTCCTTTGTGTACACCTATTTTGGGTACCTACTGACATACATAGGTTCGATATATCTATACCTAAGGTGATCGTTCTACGGTTCACTATATGCGTGGTTCCGTTTCTAACAGAAAAAATGTACTCGAATTATCCTTGATGTTAGTGCCCCCTTGGGCTGCCAAACCCTCAATCCTCACCCATTATAGGCCTAAACGGATCGAGTTCAATTCGAGAGGATACATTCCCTTATGTCTATGCGGAGAATAAATTCTCACGAAAACATAAGGTATATGAATCCCGAAGGTTACTTGCTAGGCCTGCACGGAGAATAAATTCTCACGAAGGCGTTGCTTTCGCCCCCACTTAGAAAGGTTCGGAGCTCGGGTATAGAGCTTATGTTATGCAAATGCTCGTGACGTGTGTGAGGAGGAACATTCAACCCTTTGACTCAAAAGGAAAATGACACCATTCGACAAAACTTTGGACAAAATTTGAAAACAAAGACAAAAATGTTAGTAAGACAATAATAAAATGAAGCAATTAAAAACTTCAATAAAAGGATCATAATTTAACTAAAGACTCGAACTCATAATTTCTACCAAACGACAATGTGTAAGCGACTTACAGACTGACTCTCTAAAAAATGTCCCCAGCGGAGTCGCCAAGCTGTCGTAACCGTTTTTTTCGTTGAAACGATCGTTTAATTGTTTTAAAAACAGTTTCGACTTTAAATTTGGGAAAATTGACGGTTTTGAATTGATTTGGAATAATTTGGATAGAGTCGCCATCAACCCTTGGGTTAGGTAGGTCGAATACCTAAAAACGTCTTTTAAAAATAATTTTTAGAAAAATCATTTTTAAGACAAAAGTTGGCATGCGTTTACCAAATATTCGATTAAAACGAGTTCGGGAGTCGGTTACGCGTGAGGAAGGATTAGTACCCCCACAGCACCCAAAATTGGTATTGTGTCGCTTACACGTTGTCGTAAATAGTGAAAATCCTGAATCAAATATCAAGTTAAAATATGATCCGTTTATTGGAATTTAATTAATTTACTTCAGATTAATAACTTAAAAAAATAAAATAAGTAGTTAAACTTATAAGAACTAAAATGCAACAAATCAAAAACTTAAAGTCTAAATTGCAATTAAACCAAATTAAAACAATGACTAAAACATGTAATAATGTCGAGTTATGCACATGAAGATAGCATACAAAAATTAATTAAATAAAACAAATGATTATTTAACTCATGAAAATTACCATGACATTCTAATACAAAAATTATATAATAAAATAAAATAAATGATTATTTAACTCGTGAAAATTACCATGACATTCTAATACAAAAATTGTATGCATTTATTTAGATATAAACTATATCTTATATATGATTACCATAAATAAGTTTTAAACTTTTGAACCATAACTAATACTCAATATTAAAATATAAAGATTTAATTCGATCTAGGATACACAAATAAATGTAAGGTACTATATGAATTTATATTAATTAATCATATATACATACTATCATACAAACATGTACGCATATTATGAACAAGTAATGGACCACTATACTTATTAAATAAATGATATAAAGAATATAAAAGTAAATACAAATATGCATATAATATAATAAAAATATATTAAAATTGATCATGCATAGGCTAATTAAATATAATATATATACTCCAATAATTTAATATATATATATATATATCCAACTAAGCTATACGTTAAACAAATAAAATATGGCTATTCTTCCTAAGACACGTTAAACAAATATATATATATGAACAAAGAATCAATTTCCAAGGTAAGTGTACAAGTGAGCTAAAAATTAATTATTCCAAATATTTTAATATAAAATCTAACTTTAGCCTAAACCTAATACTTAAACTAAACTACCCACCTGTTTTCAACTTCAAAGAAATCTCAACTCCCTCTTCTACTTCCCATACCCGAGAAGCTCAAGGTTAACACTCACAACGCCGGCAGCTTCTCCGAAGGATGTTCCTTGCTCCGACCACATACCACGTTAACCAGGTAAGACTTGTTAAACCCTTCCCTATTTCTTAAACGGCGATGCTCTCATCCACGATGACTCCCATCTTTTTCAGCAAAGACCCAAACACCATAAGGTAAACTAAATCGAAACTATATTTCACTCTTTATTTTATATTTTTATTTTACTTTAATCTAATCCTCTCATCCGAATCCTTTTAAAATCTACTCAAGACTCATTGTTTCGGAACTGACAACCTAGTCCCTTAATGAGGACAATCACTCCGGCATACTTTCGATTTTTTTTGAATACAAAAGTGAGATTCTTGCTACAATGGTTTTCTGTAGGCTTTTCGAAGGGTGAATGAAAATTCTCCTTGTCTGCTTTGCTTTTATGTTGAAAACCAAGACCTCTCTATCGTTCTATCGTTGGTGAAAATTTATTGTTTTTTTCTTTGTCTCTCGCTTCCCCTGATAATTTTTTTCTCACCACATGTTCCTCCCTCCTCCTCTTTGCTTGATTCCTCTTCGATTTTATTGTTGAAATCTTCACCGAATCTCATTGGATGCATCTGCATTTTCTTTGCGTTTGGTATGATGTTGATGGGTTAGGTGGAATCATTAATTTTGCTTGACTTTGGTGCATGTGACTTGATGAATTCGATTGAAATGGCCCGAGCTGTTGGTGATGATAAGATCTTGTCGTTGACACAAAGGCTAATTGGAGTTGGCGGTGTGGGAAGTGAGTGTATATTCTGGACTTATAATTGTCACTTGTTGGCCTGCATAAAATATAAATAAAATGATATTAGTAATAATAATAATAATAATAATAATAATATAGTATATATATTTTAATCCCAATAAAAAATGGGTGTCTACACAGCGTTTCTTTAGAAACGCCACTAAAGTAGGATTCTCTGGCGTTTGTTTAGAAGCGCCACTAAAGTACTTATATGTAGCGGCGTTTGTGAAATAAACACCGCTAAACTAAGAGATTTAGCGGCGTTTATGGAAAAACACCGTTAATGTTACCATTTTATGTAGTTTTGGATATAAACGCCGCGATATGTATAAATTTAGTGGCGTTTGCTTTTGAAAACGCCGCGAAAAACGCTGTTATTTACCTGTTTTGCTGTAGTGACGTTAAAAAAAATCTTAATATATTTGACTTGTTTTAGTAATAAAAGGAATGTTATTTTTTAGAGGTTCCAAGTTTGAACAACTACATCTGTAGAATATTCGTATGTTCTCAATTGATTAAGAAAGTTATGAATTAATATTTTCTCGTGATCATCCAAATTATTATTTTTAAATCATTATAAAAGTAATCTCTCAATTTAGATTATTCTATTCAAATATCAAAATTCAAACCTTTTTTTTAATATAATGCAGATCTCATTAAAAAAAACCCCTTCTAATCCTAGTAAGGGGGAAAAGAGTGTCAAAAAACCCATTAATCAAGAAACAACTACATCTTTGTGAATGTCACTAGCAATGATATCATAACAGACCGAATCAAAGAATAAAGCACCATCGGAATGAATAGCCCAACTAGCAACAGTATGGGCCACATGATTACAATCACGATTGATATAAATAAAATGGAAACTAAGATTAGCTTGAAACACATCACGTGCTTCCTGAATAAAAATACCCAAAGTAGAAATATCAGCTGAGTCTCTAATAATTTTGTTAAAAATATCAAAATTCAAACCTTAAACGATACTTAAGGTACCTAGAACAAAGCTAGCGAGGGAGTAAAAGGGGCTTTGTTCCCCTCCCAATTTTTTTTCATTTGATAACAATTTTACTCATTGATAGTTTAACTACTTATAAATTAAGTTTTGAACTTTTTTAAATTTTAGGATTAAATATTTATTAGGTCTCTATTATTTTTGAAGTTAGACAATTAATCCCTCTCATTATCTAGTATTGGTTCTATCCTTAACCTAGCACCTTATACTACTCCATTTAGGGATGGTAGTAGGTTAAGTGGATCAAGTTTTTGGTCAATTCGAATTTGTCTCAAAAAGTAAACTTCTTCACTTGTACTTCAAGTCTAAAAGGATCTCGTTTGACCCTGACCCGATACAAATATATAAATAATAATTTTTATTAGGTAAAGTAATAAACTAATTAAAAATAATTAATAGAGTGATATTATTACAATTATCTTTAAATATATAAGTGATAATTATAATATAATATTATATAAAGTTATGTTAAATTTTTTACCCTAAACTTAAACCCAATTTAAAAAAAAAACCCCCTTACATAATCATATAAAAACCCGTCATACTTGGATAAAATATCCATCCCTAACTACACTAAATCATAAAAAAAGAAAAGCTCTTTGCTTATGAATATAAATTATTGTTATTTCAGGTTTCATCAACAGGCACATTCATAGGATGCTTGATTGCAGCAATATCATTTCTAATGAAGGTAATCATTCACCCATGAAAAAACCATTTTAATTCCAAAAAATGAATCTTGTCTAATTTAAACCAATTCCTCTTACTTGGTCTCTTTTTTTCTTGAATTCTCAGGAACACAACTTGCTTCAACAATGGGTTCCATTGTCTGTACTATGTGGATTGCTGGTAATATAGATTTTATTTAACGTATAATCAATGTTTCGCATTAAAGAAGAACACTGATCCTTAAATGCAATCAGATCTTCGAGGGTTCATTTGCAGTAGGAATGGGAGCAGTCCCTTGGGTCCTCATGTCCGAGGTACGTTAGCTCAGGGCGTAAACGAGACAACTCCGCTCGTATGTTATTAATATTTAATTCGATTCGGTTATTGAAGATATTTCCGATAAATGTTAAGGGAGTAGCAGGAAGTTTAGTGAATCTAGAACACTGGTTTGGTGCTTGGGCTTGCTCTTACACTTTCAATTTCCTCATGGATTGGAGTCCCTCAGGTAAACTAATTTGCTTCATATATATATATATATATATATATATATATATATATATTATATATATATCCTTAATTCATCAATAAAAAAAAGACACCAACACAATTAGAAGTGTTTAAACAGTTAATTCGGTCACTGATCAAACTGAATTAGCTAAAATCAAATTAATCGAACTATTTTTGTTTGGCTGATGCAGGTACCTTTTTCCTCTATTCAGGAGTTTGTGCAGCTTCTGTTATTTTTGTGGCCAAAGTTGTGCCAGAAACAAAGGGAAGTACCTTGGAAGAGGTACAAGCTTCCATCAATTTTTGAAGCAATTTGAGTTTACAAGTTTTATTTCTAAATTAATGTATAGGGGCAACTAGTTTTACTATCTGTTCTTCATTCACATCTTTCAAAACATTGAGACTTTTATTTTGTTTGAATGTCTTTGTGAATTCATTTTGACATGGTTAAAAAAAAAGAATATTTGCCATTTTTTCGATTATTTTTTGTTGACATATTTAATGACGAAAATAATAACTGTCACTATTTTTTATGATCGATTCCCTCTGATTTAATTAGAGAGTCGCACACCAGTGATTCAAACACGTAGTGTTCTGATATTGAAAGAAAAGAAAATTCAAGGGGTAAGATTGAGAAAGAGAAAACACCTTTGTTAAGGTTGATCGAATTAAAATGATTCTTCTTCTTCTTCTTTTCTTCTTCTTCTTTTCTTCTTCTTCCTTTCATTTCTTCTTTCTCCTGATAAAATCAATCTAGGCTATTGTCACTGCTCACCGCGGCCGGTCACCACCAACCATAGTTGGTGGTCAATGAGTCTTAAAGTTTCTCACCGAACTTGTTCTGTCTTTCTAAATGTGAACTTGACATCCATTTAATAGAAAAACATTTTAAATTCTGAATTTAGCGTTGAATATTTTAATGTATTGTTCTTCAAATGGAGACTTTGATCGCCAATGATCCACCAATGCTCAAGGTGAATTTTTTTGTCTTTTTTTATTTCTTCTTTTTATCATTTTGATTATTATTATTATTTTGGTTATTTTCCTATTGGTTGCTATGGATATATGCTATTTTTTAGTTTGTTGAGTGGGGTAATAAAAAAATTTAGGATGACGGATAAGAATGATATTTAAAGATAATTATCGATATTTGATGGTTGAGGGATATAGTAGGTACGAGCGTGATGGTGGTTATCAGATAGTTGGAGTTGATACTAGAGACGAAAGTAACAATAACTTAGGTGAAGGAAATAATTAACGGTTTATGTGTGGAATGATCTTTAATTAATGGTTGATTTGAGATGATGGATGTCACAGAGAATATGTAAAACGATAAAAAAGTTATTGATATAGAGCCTAATTGAATAAAATATATAAAAAAAATATTAATAAACTATTAATTGCTGTTTACATAACTCAGATATTAACAAAATAACTTATGTTATCATGTTGGTGTAAATATAACAGTGGAGTAACTGAATAAATTGAATTTCAAAGTTAAAATGACCAAAAAGAGAATAAGATGAAAATTGAGTGATAAAATCTGTAGTTTACTCAAAATTTTATTGGGAAAAAGCTCCATTAGACATCATCTTCAATCATTTCCCTCTTCTACTAATTTTCTCTCTCCCGAAACCCTAGACATCCAACCCCCAAGTATCAGAAAATCAAAAGAACCCCCAAATTTCCCCAATAAAATCCTCTCTTTTCCCGAGAAATTTCTTTTTCAATCTTAACTAAAGAAGAAAAAGTCTTTAAAGCCCCAATTTAGGGTTAAGGAAATTAGAATTTTCTTGGGGAGATAATGGGGAAGGTTCTATTGGGAACATCGAAACCATCCTCGTCACCAGCCTCCTCCTTTAGCGCGACAACGTCTTCGACGTCGGTGACGGAGACGGTGAACGGCTCTCACCAGTTCAAGATCACGGAGTATTCGTTGTCTAAAGGTTTGGGGATCGGAAAGTACATAGCTTCCGACACGTTCATGGTGGGTGGATATTTGTGGGCGATCTATTTTTATCCCGATGGAAAGAGCCCCGAAGATAATGCCACCTACGTTTCGTTGTTCATTGCTTTGGCAAAGCGAAGGAACCGACGTTAAGGCGCTTTTTGAGCTCACACTCTTGGACCAAAGCGGGAAAGAACAACATAAGGTGCATAGCCATTTTGGGAGGACGCTTGAGAGTGGGCCTTATACGCTGAAGTATCGCGGCAGCATGTGGTAAGAGTTTTCATCTCTCTCTCTCTCTCTCTCTGTGTTTGTGTGGTGGATTCGATTGGGTTTTAGAATAGCGAATTTCTCTTTGGATTGATTGATGTATTGGTAGATTTTGGGGCTTGATGCGTTAATTGTGGTTCTTCTGTTGTAATAGTTACTGTGGTTTAAGTGTATTGCTGCACATTAAGAACTTTATGATGTTTGCTTGCGCTTCTTGTGCTATCTTTTTAATTTTCTGGTCGACTGTCGATTGAACGCTGGATTGTGAGTCCTTTCTTGTTTCATTTATTGAACTGTATGTTGATTCTTAGGGAGCTGGGATGTTTGTATAGCAAGTGTGTTGCCTATATATATTGTATTATAAAATACTGACATAATAGGGGTGATATTAGACCTTGCGATGGTGGGCATAACATGTTATACAATATGCAAGTATGTCAAAAATCTATATATCTCAAATTTTGCACTTGCCAAAAGTAGTATAAATATAGAATATCTAAAGTATGATTATGAAATTAGACAATGCTCGAATTGTCAGGTTTAGGAGATTTGGAGTACTGAGCTTGTTTCCGGTGATATTCTCTTTGACATCAAAAGAAGTTATTCTCTTAATGTTATTCACTGTTCTTTCCGGTGATATTCTCTTTGACGTCAAAAGAAGTTATTCTCTTAATGTTATTCACGGCTATTATATGGTAAATGCAAATGCAATATGAATTGTTTATTACTTGTCATCAATTTTGCCAGCTACCTGCACTGCCGTTATTATTATTTTTTAAATTTCTTTATTTGCATTATTGTTTTTATCTTTTCTCCTTGTCTCATTAAGACCCGTGATGGTGTGAATTTAAATTCATTTAAAAAGAAATGTAATATTTAAAATGCAATTGTATGGTTTTGAGAATAGGTGTGTGGATTAGTAAGGGGAAAGAAAAGTGTATTATTTAGTCAAGTGTCTGCTCTTAGACTTTTGAGCTTTGAACGTGTATAGAAGTTACTTTTTGTTGAATAATGTCACTATGTTGATTGGTCGAGGCTAATGCTTTATGTTTTAAGTTTTTCTTTCCTTGCAAAGAAAAAAAATGTTTTGCATATGACTCCAGTATGATTTTTTTGTGGAAGGGTTCTCTTCTGAAGCCATGCTTCTATGTCCTTTTACTGTGCTCGATGTCTATACTACTGTTTAAACTAATTGGAGCTTTTTTTTTCTGCCTTCATAAAGCATTCGATGACTATCAATTAAGATACGATCCACTGAATACATACACAACAACATTATTGCTAGTGTGATTGACTAACTCTTGTAATATGCAACTCTTGATTACTGTACTCTGATGTTATGATGTCCTATGCCGACCTTAACTAACTATGTAAAATCTGCTAATAAGACATTTATTGGTTATGATATATTAGAATTTTGGCTTAGTCACTTGGCTATGGGTTCTTAGCTTCCTTCGTTGGGGAATTTGCCATGTTCCAGGGTTTGCCCTGAAAAATGAACGAAAAGAAGCATAGTTTATTTTTTTTCTGTTATTTCTCATAGCATATAATAACTGTTGGTGAGCACTGGGGTAATTCGTTTGATCTGCCGCAGGGGATATAAACGATTTTTTAAAAGAACACTACTTGAGCAATCAGACTACCTCAAAGACAATTGTCTCTCTGTTCACTGTAGTGTTGGTGTTATTAAGTCACATACAGAGGGTCCTAAGACCTACTCCATAGCTGTACCTCCTTCAAACATCAATCAGCATTTCGGGAAACTACTAGAAAGTGAAAAGGGTACTGATGTAAGCTTTGAAGTTGATGGGGACGTCTTTCCTGCCCACAAATTGGTACTTGCTGCTCGTTCTCCTGTGTTTAGGGCACAACTCTTTGGACCAATGAAGGATCAAAATACAAAGCAAATAAAAATTGAAGATATGGAAGCTCCTGTTTTCAAGGTTCAGTGCAATTCCCCTTCTTATATTGGACAAAAAACTCATGCTACTTATCCTTGATAATGCACCAATGATGGATGCATGGTGTCAAGTTGTCAACTTGCCATGAATAATGTGAACTGTTGTCACTTGTCAGATCCATGATATCAATTTGCCTTTGTTAGCAAGCCTGATTCCTGTAATTAGTTAGTGCAAACTTCTCAATAGAAATGTTAGGATAGAGTTGGGTTTTTTGAAGTCATTATTATGGCATGTACTGACTTGAGCCCTTAATTGCTTAATATAACACACGTGGGTGGTCAATGTATATGTATTTCTTACATTTCTCAAAAATTATGATAATAATCAGGCCTTTGAAGTTACTATTTACTCATCAAGCTAGAGCAAGCATTCTTTAGTAATGATTACTGATACCTTTTGACTCTGCCTAATTTTGCACTTTTCAGGCCCTACTTCACTTTATATACTGGGATTCTCTACCCGACATGCAAGAGCTCACTGGTCTCAACTCAAACTGGGCCTCCGCATTGATGTCACAGCACCTGCTTGCTGCTGCAGATAGGTATGGGCTAGATAGGTTGCGATTACTCTGCGAGGCCAATCTTTGTGAGGATGTTACCATTAACACTGTGGCAACTACATTAGCCTTGGCTGAGCAGCACCATTGTTTCCAGCTGAAAGCTGTGTGTCTCAAGTTTGTTGCAATGCCAGAAAATCTTAGAGGTGCTCTTTTTGCTTTGGTGTTTACATCAATGTTGTGTCAAGATTTGTTATGGTACAAATATTATTGTAGTAGGGAAGATTTACTTGATTATGCTAATTATCAGATACACAATCCTCAATGTTCTTTGTTTCTTAATATAAAATCGTTGATGTTAAGGACTGTCCACCAGTGAAGAAAAACCCAGATGAATCCAGCCTGTTCGACTGGGAACTGGTGGCCTGTCTGGTCTGGAACATACTGAATACCTTGGGATCTGTTGAACTGACCATGAACTGGTTGAAAACTGACAAAAAGCTGGATTTTTTTATTAAAATAATGTTTGTCGGTGATGAAATTTGAACTTTCGACATCTTATTTATATGTTAATGGCCAGACCCTTTAGTATTAAAACCATAGATTTTAATATTTGACGTATATTTTAATGG